AACATCGAAGAAATACACCATCAAACGAGCGCCGATATAACGCATCCTTGAAATATATGAAGCGAGGAGCCCGACGTCTTACATCTACCCTCCTACGAGGGTCTTGAGGTAACTTCCCATCAGCAAGGTAGTCAATCAATGATTGCCTCCAATCCTCTTTATCTACCTCATAGACAGAGGTAGTCGGGAGGTCAACAATGTCGTCAAGAGAGTCATCGTCTTCGAAGATTGGAGGGACCACCCATTTTTGGCACACGCGTAACCGAGCCTCATCTATAGGATGTGATACAGTTGAAGCTAAAGCAGCTAGGGCATCGGCTTGCTTATTCTGTTTCCTCGGGATGTGTTCAATTGTAGCATCTCCCAGCCAATGTAGGAGCATTTTTGCGTAACTGTTGTATGGAATCAACTCTGGTTTCTTTACTTCATAAACCCCAAGTACTTGGTTGACAATCAGCTTGGAGTCCCCATATATATTAACCCTTAGCTGCTTCATATCAGCTGCAATTTCAAGTCCCAAAATGAGTGCTTGATACTCGGCAACATTGTTCGAGCAGCGTGTAGACACTTAAATTTTGATAAATATTGATTATTTATCAATATTAGTATATTTGAATATATTTGAAATATTTTGGATAATATTGATATTATCTAATTTGTTAATTAGATAATATCAAAAGAGTTTGAGCTTATCAAAACTCTCTATCCTACAACTATAAATAGTGCATTTCATTTCTATGTAATGACACAAATCCTAGGAAGAATCATGTAAACATCTAGAAATATATATATTATTTAGAGATCACAATGAAAATGTGATCCTGAAAGTAAAAGCCCCTCCTCCTCTATATGTTGATGCATGTTGATCCAAACCTTTATTGAAGATCAAGCCATTTGAACCCGGAGGCCCTTCAAGAAGAACAAGCTATATATACAAGCCCTTCTTTGAGATATCTTTCAAGGCTCCTTGGCACGAGTTGAAACGGCCTTATATCTTTAAGTTGTAGTGTCGAGACTTTCTTGCACTACATACTTTCAAGTTTTATATGCTCTCAAGTGGTGTACAAGCAAGTCTCGAGGGGGCATTTGTAGACACTTAAATTTTGATAAATATTGATTATTTATCAATATTAGTATATTTGAATATATTTGAAATATTTTGGATAATATTGATATTATCTAATTTGTTAATTAGATAATATCAAAAGAGTTTGAGCTTATCAAAACTCTCTATCCTACAACTATAAATAGTGCATTTCATTTCTATGTAATGACACAAATCCTAGGAAGAATCATGTAAACATCTAGAAATATATATATTATTTAGAGATCACAATGAAAATGTGATCCTGAAAGTAAAAGCCCCTCCTCCTCTATATGTTGATGCATGTTGATCCAAACCTTTATTGAAGATCAAGCCATTTGAACCCGGAGGCCCTTCAAGAAGAACAAGCTATATATACAAGCCCTTCTTTGAAGATCAAGCCACTTGAAACCCGGAGGCCCTTCAATGGTGGAGTGTTCAAGGCATCCAATTGAAGAATCAGAGGACATCCCAGAGACTTGTACTCACACCTCATTGATACTTAATATGTAACCGGAACTTTGAATTACTAAATATATATTCAATTTTCTTTGTTTACAGGATCATTATTCAAAGCAGAGGTAGGACTAGTATTTTGATTATAGTGGGTCATTATTCAAATCAGAGGTAGTATGAGTTGAAGGCTGAGAGCCTGAGATTATTGTGGTATACAAATGGAATGCTGATGAAAAAATTGACATGAAAAGACAGAATTGTCTTTCTACTTCACGACTGCTTAATCCCAAAAGTAATGGTTGATTAAAAGTGTCCAACTTTTATAAAGTTTGGACAAAATATGGCAAAATTAATAAAAGCTCACAAAATGTGTCTCATGCGCAATAAATGTAGGACCAAAAGTGGATTTAACTCTAACAAAAAAAAAAAAAAAAAAAAAAAAAAAAAAAAACCTTAATGAATAAACATTATGTTTATTCCAAGTTCAAAAGATGTATATTTTCTCAACAATAAAATATGTGCACAATACAATAATGAGAAAATGTTTGAATGCTTTAAGAATTTCATAAAATAACTGAATATATACAAGTTCTACAAAGTGAGCGCAAGTCTTTTCCAATAAAATTCTTAAACTTGAATGGTGGCATGCCTTTAGTTAAGAGATCAGCAATCATCAACTCAGTGCTTATGTGCTCAATGACCATTTTCTTATCTTTAACACACTCCCTGATGGCCAAGTACTGTCGATATGCTTACTTTGACTCTCACTCTTATTATTCTTAGCCAGGAAGACTGCAGGTGAGTTGTCACAATAAACTTTTAATGGCTTAGAAATAGAGTCCATAACTCTAAGCCCGAAAATTAAATTCTTAAGGAATACACCTTAAGATGTAGCTCAAAACATGAAACGTACTCGGCTTCTATGGTAGAAGTGGTGACAAGAGTTTGTTTAACTCTTCTCCATGAAACAGCTCCACCGGCCATGATAAAAATGTACTCCGAAGTTCATTTCCGAGAATCAATGCAACTAGTAAAAGCCGTGGAAGCACTCGGATCTCGTCACCTTCCTTGTACCCCGTCAGACGTATGGCGCAATCTGCCTAGATTTCCTTCTTGATGACGAAGTCAAGGCCGTAAGTGAATTTCAACAGCGACCAGAGCATACTAGTACAGAAATAGTCATTCGCGTCCAAAGTTAAGACTAATACGCGTCCAAAGTTGCTTGGACGCGTATGTGGGAGACACTGATGTATGAACAATCCGCGTCCAAAGTTCACCAACTTTGGACGCGTATTTTTTATTTTTTTTTTTAAAAACAACTACACGCGTCCAAAGTTCAAGAACTTTGGACGCGTAGAGTTTTATTTTATTTTGAGTTAATTACCAAAATGGTCCCTTGACTATAGTGAAATTACCAATTTGGTCCTCGACTATTTTTTTGACCAATTAAGTCCTCAACTTTAAAAATCTTAACCAATTTGGTCCTCCGTTAGTTTTGCCGTTAGACTTCCTTTAACTTAGGACCAAATTGATAATTTTTTTATAGTCAAGGGACCATTTCAGTGATTAACTTTAGGTGTGGGCAATTCTTTTTAATTTTTTCGAACTAAACCGTACCGACCATTAAAGTAATTAACCGTACCGAACGATTCGGTTAAAAACTGATTGGAAATACCATTTGATTTTAATAATAATAATAATAATAAAGAAAATACGGTTCGGTTGAACGGTAACGGACGCATCAAGGGACTTGGATTTACTTCTTTATTATTATTATTATTATTATTATTATTATTATTAGTTCGGTTGAACGGTAACGGACGCATCAAGGGACTTGGATTTACTTCTTTATTATTATTATTATTATTATTATTATTATTATTATTATTATTATTATTATTATTATATTTTAAATAAAATCAAACGGTATTTCCTTTCGGTTTTTAACCGAATCGTTCGGTACGGTTAATTACTTCAATGTTCAGTATGGTTCAGTTCGGAAAAACAGAACCGAATTGCCACCCATAAAGGTAATTATTGAAATGGTCCCTTGACTATAGCAAAATTACGAATTTGGTCTCAAGTTAATGGAAGTCTAACGGAAAAACTAACGGAGGACCAAATTGGTTAAGATTTTTAAAGTTGAGGGACTTAATTGGTCAAAAAAAATAGTCGAGAATCAAATTGCCAATTTTGCTATAGTCAAGGGACCATTTTGATAATTAACTCTTTTATTGTTTTAAAAATACAATACGCGGCCAAAGTTCCTTAACTTTTGACGTGTATTGTAATTTTTTTTATTTCATTAAATTTCCACTTTTTTTCCTGTACAAAAAACATTAATACATTCAAATCTTGTACATGCAACCACTACCTGTCACTCTAAACTTCAATGCATTCACAACATACATTACTATCATCATTTTACCACATATCAACACTTTAAAGTTCTCAAGAAATAAATATAATTAACACTTCAAAGTTCTCAACAATATCAAGCTAGCTAAGTACCAACACATAAATATAATTAGAGTTAATACCATATGAGGTCCTCAGAGTATAGTGGTTTTGCCACGTTTAGTCCTGAACTTTCAAATTGACCATTTGTGGTCCTTCGACTTTCAAATTTAACCATTCGTGGTCCAAGTTAACCACCCATGGTCCTTAAACTATTAAATTTTAACCAACCATGGTCCTTTCAAGAGGACCATAGCTGGTTAAATTTCGAAACTTGAAGGACCATGGGTGGTTAACTTGGACCGCGAATGGTTAAATTTGAAAGTTGAAGGACCACAGATGGTCAATTTGAAAGTTTAGGACTAAATGTGGCAAAACCACTATACTCGGAGGACCTCATATGGTATTAACTCATATAATTAACACTTCAAAGTTCTCAACAATATAAGTTAATACCCAAAATAATCCACGACTATATTGATTTTTCTCAATTTCGTCCTAAATGACTTTGATGACCGAATATAATCCCAGACTTTTGTATTTTTACTTACTATCGTCCTCCGTTTGTTAATCCGTTAAGTTGGTGTTAAATATAATGTTAATTCTGTAAGAGTAAATACCCAAAATGGTCCCTCGACTATAGCTAAATTCATAAATTGGTCCTCAACTTTCAATTTCAACCAATTAAGTCCTTAACTTTGCAATTTTGACACGATTTAATCGTCCATCTATTTGACCGTTTGTTGACCGTGATCGACGATCTTCAGAAGAACCTTCAGCTTTCGTCGGAGCATGTGGAGGCCTCCAGGATGACGTTGCACCAGTTCGGAAACACGTCGTCTTATTCGCTCTAGTACAAACTCAACTACATTGAATCCAAAGGGAGGATGAAGAAAGGCGACCGGATTTGGTAGATCGCTTTCGACAGTGGATTCGAATGTAACAGTGCGGTCTGGAAATGCAACCGGAACCTTAAAAAACCGACGATGGACCATGAAATTACATATATATTATCAAAAATCACAGTCAACAAATAGTCAAATAGACAAAGGACCAAATTGTGTTAAAATTACAAAGTTAAGGACTTAATTGGTTGAAATTAAAAGTCGAGGACCAAATTGTGAATTTAGCTATAGTCGAGGAACCATTTTGAGTATTTACTCATTTGTAATTTCAATTCTGTTTCCATCTCTCTTCCGTTTCTCGGTAAACACTCCGACGTTTCCGTACTCCCTCTCTCCATCTTATACGAGACCGCAGAAGCCCATAGATTTTTTGACCTCTCTCCATCAGTACCTGCTCTGATGTTGTGAGTTGAGTCTACTATGTCAGCTGAGCTTGTTCATGTAAACGAGAGAGAACGAGATGGAACGAAAGAGAAGAAAAAAGCTCTGGATTATTTCTCACACTGGAAGCATGGACAGTAACACCGTATATATACAGAGCTGGGCAGTTATAACTGCCTGAAGATGAGAAAAGACAAAAAGAACCCCTTGGCTATTTTACATCATCTAATACCCCCCATAAACTGGAGCATGTAGATCCTCAGTGCCCAGTTTAGATTTAAAGATCTGAAATGCAGTAGAAGGCAAGGCCTTAGTGAGACCATCTGCAACCTGTGAGGAAGATGGAACAGGCAGTAACTTAATGAGACCTTGATTGAGTTTTTCACGTACAACATGGCAATCTATATCAATGTGCTTTGTACGCTCGTGGAACACGTGATTCTCGGCGATAGTGATGGCGGATTTGCTATCACAAAACGTGGCTGCTGGCTTGCTCAATTTAATCTGCAAATCATTGAGAAGGGATGTAATCCACTGTACCTCACATACAGTGGCAGCAAGAGCACGATACTCTGCTTCTGATGAGGAACGGGAGACAGTCACCTACTTCTTGGATCGCCACGAAATTAGAGCTGAGCCTAGAAAAATGCAAAATCCCGTGATGGATCTACGTGTTTCCGGACAAGAAGCCCAATCCGAGTCTGCAAAGACATTTAGCTGCATGTTATTATTTTTCGGATACAACAGGCCTTGTCCAGGAGCTCCCTTAATGTAACGAAGAACATGGTGAGCAGCGATCATGTGTTCTGAAGTTGGGGAGTCGACGAACTGGCTCAATTGTTGCGTAGCATACGCAATATCAGGCCTTGTAGCCGTTAAATATAACAAACGACCAACTAGTCTTCTGTAAGGGGCAGCATCAGTGAGAAGAGAACCACCTTCTTTGGTTAATCTCTGTCCAGAAGCCATGGGGGTGGCAGCCGGCTTGCAGTTGAGAAAGCCAGCTTCCTCTAAAATATCGAGAGCATATTTCCGTTGACATATGTTCAATCCATTCTCCGACATACGAGCCTCAATCCCCAAAAAATACCCCAAGTTCCCCAGATCCTTGATTCTGAACTCACTGTCAAGGAAGGACTTGAGATCCTGAATGAGTTGTAAACTGGAACTTGTGACAAGAATGTCATCCACATATATAAGGATGGCTATAAAAGATGCCTCACAGCCCTTAGTAAACAGAGAAGGATCAAATTTTGATTGTTGAAAACCTTTATGAATCAGTGCGGCACTCAATTTAGCATTCCATTGCCGACTAGCCTGTTTGAGGCCATAGAGGGATCTTAGGAGTTTGCATACTTGACCAGGATGTTGCCCTTGAAATCCGGGAGGAAGCACCATGTAAACCTCCTCGTCCAAGTCCCCATGGAGGAAAGCGTTATTGATGTCCAATTGGTGGATGTGCCATGCTTGAGAAGATGCCACGGCTAGGAAGGTGCGAATGGTGGTGATTCGTGCTACTGGCGAAAAAGTCTCGATATAATCAATTCCCAACTGCTGAGTGTAGCCCTTGGCTACCAATCTAGCCTTATAACGTTCCACCGAACCATCCGCTTTAAGCTTTACCTTATATACCCATTTACACCCTATTGGTGTCTTTCCGGGTGGTAAATCAACCAAAGTCCATGTATTGTTGTCCTGCAGTGCTTTAATCTCAGCAGCCATAGCATCTTTCCAACACTCATTACGTATGGCTTGGGTATAAGTTCGTGGCTCTTTGATGGCTGTTACTGCCATAGAAAATCTTTGGTGTGGCACGGGGAGGTGCTTGTATGAAATGACTTTTGATATCTTGTGAGGTGAGGTGCCTTGTGATGTAGCTGCATCACAATAATAGTCTAGGAACCTGTTTGGAACTTGACGGTTTCTGTTAGAACGCCGTGGCTGCATATCAACAACAACTGGAATCTCAGAAGAAAAATCTGGTTCCCCTTGTGACATTATGGGGACATTACTGTGTGAGTGATCAGCATCCCCTTGGGAAGAATTGTTAGCTGTTTGTTCAGAATTGGATTGGGACTGAGCAGGTGTACTATGCCAATCCAGATTCATTGTGACTGGGATGTTTGGAAGAGAGGGCTCAGAATTAGGCTGGCTCTGGTCAGTAACTGCCTCTGCCACCATAGGGAATTCAGATTCATAAAATATGACATCCCGAGATACAATAACAGATCCATCCTTCAAATCGTATAGCATATAGCCTTTGATTCCAGCTGGTAGGCCAATAAAAATGCATTTCCTTCCTCTTGCTGCCATTTTGTGCCTTGCTTGAGACGGTGTAGCAGCATAGCACAAGCAACCAAAAACTCTAAGGTTGGCAATGTTTGGGGAGCTACCATACACTCTTTGATATGGAGTTGAGAGACCAATAGTAGGAGACGGAAGCCTGTTGATTATAAAAGCTGCGTGCATAACGCAATGACCCCAAAACTTCAAAGGGAGGTTAGCTTGAAAACGCAATGATCTAGCCACGTTGAGAATATGTTGATGCTTTCTCTCAACAATGGCATTTTGTTGAGGGGTATTAACACATGAACGTTGGTGCACTATGCCCTTTTCCAAGAAGAATTCATCCATTCAAAACTCAGCTCCATTATCACTCCGAATGGTTTTGATTAACTTTCCGAATTGAGTAAACACATATGCATGAAACTGTCTAATAAACTGTCGTGTTTGAGCTTTTGCTTTCATTAAACGAATCCATGTAAAGCGAGAGTAATCATCCACAATGGTAAGAAAATAGTATTCTCCATTCATTGAACAAACCGGGAAAGGTCCCCAAATGTCAACATGTATCAAATCAAAGCAATTACTTGAGCTACTAGTACTTAAAGGAAACGGAGAGCGTTTATGCTTAGCTGAGTGGCAGACATCACAAGCTAGAGTACTGCTTTTAGAAATATCCACATCACATAGAAGATGGATTTTATTGGTTGGAAAATGACCTAACCTTCGATGCCAAATTTCCAAGCTAGTACACTGTGCAATGTAGTGTTTACTCTGTAAATCCGGTTCCACCATTATGTAGAGGCCCCTTTCTTCCTTAGCTAAACCAACTGTCTCCCCAAGAGTCCCCTGAATGACACACTGTTTGGCCACAAAAAACAGTTTATAAGCAGCATCTTGAACTAATTTGCTCACAGAGATAATATTGAACTTGAAGGTAGGGATATGCAAAGCTTCCTTCAAGTATAGGCTGTCACTGAGCTTTACATCCCCTATGTGCTCAACTGATATACACTGACCAGTGGGGAGGTTTACTTCAACATCATTAATCATGCGATAGTTGATAAGATAATCAAGAGAGCACACTATATAATTAGTGGCCCCCGAGTCAATAATCCAAGTTGAAGGACTTAAGTAAAGGGAGTTGATAGAAAACTTGCCTTCATCAGAGGTATGTGGCTCATTAAAGTTGGCAGTCAAGGTTGTGGCAGCAGCCAAATTGGAATTAGAGCCTGACGATTGAACTGGATGGTTTTGCAGAATTGACAAAAATTTTTGCAGCTGTTCCTGTGTGATTCCCAGATCATTATTGTTTGAGATTGCTGCTGTGGTCTGTTGTTTGTTTTTCGATTTAAAACCTTGAATCCATCCGGGAGGGAAGCCATGCTTCTTGTAACACCTATCCACTATGTGGCCAGACATGCCACAATAGGTACATTTAGCTTTGGCAGCACCATTATTTCTTCTGCCATTATATGAAGTTGCAGCCACAGTTTCCTCATTCAAAGAGCTATGAACAGCATTAGATTGATTGATGTCCAGGCTTCCTAGATTCAAATTTCTTAGGCTAATTTGCCTTTCTAGCTTCTCTGCCATTACAAATATCTTGTATACCTCCGGTAAAGGATCTAGAACCAACACACTTGATTTCAGACTGTCATATTCCTCATTTAAACCCTGTAGGAAAAGAATTACCTGATCAATTTCCCTCTCACTTCTGATAACTTCAACTAAGTCACAGGAACATTTCGGATTGCACTTGCAAAGTGGAATAGGCCTCAGATTATTCATTTGTTCCCACAAGGTTATGCTCTTCGTGTAGTATTCATTAACCGTGAGGTTTCCTTGCTTCAAATTGTGGATCTCAACCTGCAAACTCGAGATGCGTTGTGCATCTCTCTGTGAGAATCGCCTCCTCAGATCCTCCCAGATATCCTTAGCATGATCAAAATGCATTACACTTTGCACTATCGACGGATGCAAGGACTTGAAGATCCACGAACAAATCATTAGATTGCATCTTCTCCACGCCGGATAGTGTCGTTGATCTCTGCTTGGCGGTGCTGTGCTTCCGTCCACTAATGACCACTTATTTTTAACTTCCAGCGCGATTTGCATCGACACACTCCATGTGCCGTAATTCGAACTGCCGATCAGCGGCGGAGCTACGAGAACAGCCGATGGACTGTCGTTTGCATTTAGGTATAGCGGATCTTCTAGATCTCCATTGAAGTAGTTTCTCTGAGCTTGAGGTGTTGAGTTCCCCTGCGGAGTGATCTCAGGCGCTGGATGAATCGGAGGTTGGTTGACCGGCGTAGCAACATGACTGGTGTTGCCAACGCCGGTGACTGCAGCGGCATAGTTACGCCGGAGCTCTGATACCATGTCAGCTGAGCTTGTTCATGTAAACGAGAGAGAACGAGATGGAACGAAAGAGAAGAAGAAAGCTCTGGATTATTTCTCACACTGGAAGCATGGACAGTAACACCGTATATATACAGAGCTGGGCAGTTATAACTGCCTGAAGATGAGAAAAGACAAAAAGAACCCCTTGGCTATTTTACATCATCTAATATACTAGCCAACTTTTGTAGTTTTGGGCAGTGGGGGAGATAACACAGCCACACAGGTGCGCGGAGAGAGTTCATAGTATTGCGATGTTAGCACTTACCAGAACAAATCCTTGAATCTTTTTCTTAATTGCAAAATCCTAAAATTTGTTTCACAGTTCAGACCCAATTTTCAATGCTGCATAACCCGTACCCAGAGAGAAGCCACTTCTTTGTTCTCACATGGCCACCCTCTGTCGGATTCCCGCTATCCATAAGCTCACTTTATCTCCTCTCCCCTCTCGCCACACTACCCACTGTCATTACACCAACATTCCCAATTGCCAAACTTCAATTTTTGCTTCTATCAACAAACTCAGGTTCGTTTCTTCTTCTTCTGTGATTTTTGTTCCTTATTATTTTGTGCTAATTACATCACATGTGTTCATTTGGGTACGTTCTACAAATTTTATTGTCGGTGGTATACTGCGTTCTAATATGTTTGTCACTGTTCTTGTGCTTCATTTCAATTTCTGTTCACTTTGGTGTTTTGTAAAGTTTGAATCTTTATAACAATTTTGTGGCTATTTGCAGTAAGAATGGATGAATGTGAAGGCATCTGTTTGATTATTGTTTTCTTGTATAAGATGGAGGGAGGGAGTGCGGCGTCGGAGTGTTTACCGAGAAACGGAAGAGAGATGGAATCAGAATTGAAATTACATAATTAACCCTATATTTAACACCAACTTAATGGATTAAGAAACGGAGGACGATAGTGAGTAAAAACACAAAAGTCTGGGATTACATTAAGCCATCAAAGTCATTTATGACGAAATTGAGAAAAACCACTATAGTCAAGGACTATTTTGGATATTAATTCTCAACAATATCAAGCTAGCTAAGTACCAACACATAAATACAATTAACACTTCAAAGTTCTCAACAATATCAAGCTAGCTAAGTACCAACACATACAGGGACGGAACTACCTTTGGGGTTAGCGGGGCCCTAACCCCCCTCCCCCAACCCCCACCCCTACCCTCACCCTAAATTTTTTCATAAATATGTATGTATATATTAATATAGTAGGAATAAAATACACTTTTGGCCCCCCTCTAATTTTTTTTTTTTAAAAAAATAATCTATTATGTTGATATTAAATGAACTCAATATATATATATATATATATATATATATATATATATATATATATATATATATATTAAAGTTCAAAATTCATTAAATAAAAAGAAATAAATTAAATAATTAAAGTGACCATTTTTCTTTATTATCTTATTTGTTTTATCAAGATTTTAATAATAAATGGCATCAAGTATACATTTTAATTTAAAAAATCTTTAAATTTGAGATATATGTTTTGGTTTTATTAGTTATATATGTTGATTAATTAATTAGTGATTTATTGTGTGTTTTAATCATTTATTCACATTTTTAAGATGTACATTTGCTAGTTTAAATGATTAGTTTTGAAATTGACAGAAATTAATATTAATTATTTAATTCGTCTTGGTTTTTGTCTTTATCTATGAAATTTTGAAATATTCAGTTAATCAGTAAAATAAATATAAGTTAATTATGAAAAAATTTGGTGTCAAAATAATTGACAACTTTTTATTTGATACTAAGTGATAATCTATATTTAAATAAATGTTGTTATTGTTATTATTATATTTTGTGTTATGTGAAAAATTTCTAAAGTAATGATCGATACCTGTGTCGATCGTACTCATATAATTATGTATTTCATACTTTATTACACATAGTATAATTAGAAATCATTATCAATAATAATCATAATAATGTATGGTATATATAATAATATATGATGCGGTTAATTATAATGTCGACTAACATTGTAAATTTTCTCTACTACATCGGCCCCCCAACTCAAGTTTTCTGACTCCGTCCCTGAACACATACATCAACACTTCAAAATTTACTAAATAAGAGTTCAACTTCAATACATTCAATTCACAACATACATCAACACTTCAAAGTTTTCAACTTCAAAAATTTATATGCATTCTTCAATAAAATATTTAGATCAAACCTCACGAATCTCATCAATTTGCTCTTGTGAGTTTCCATCAAATGCCTACAAAAATTTAAAATAATCAAATAATTAGTTTTAACATTAATAAAGTGTAATTTAAAACTATTTAGTTTTAATAAATTTTACATACCGTGTCTAAATGTTCAAAATCACAATATATAGTGCATATTTCAGTTCGGCTTTAATTTTTTTTTTTTTTTTCTGTTTGAAATCATTTAGTTTCAAATTTGATTTGATTTAAATTTTAGACTGATTTCTTCACTTGCATTTGGACTAGAGAATTGATCCATTTTTTTGGTTCAATTCAATTTTTATTTTAACTCAATTAGAATAAAAGATCTTGTATCAAGCAATGTAACAGTGACTCTTCCAGATAAAAGATCACATATTCAAACTTGTTTAGTGAATACATTTTAAGTTTTAATATAGGAGTTAATACCTAATATAGTTCTTGACTAATTCAACTATAGTGATTTTATTCGATTTAATTCTCGACTTTAATGATTTTACACACTTGAATCATCTGTTAAAAATTTTGTTTGTTAACTGTTAATAACAAGGTTAAAATGATAATTTTATTTCCCTTTTATTTTTCTTCAAGTTAATTATTAATTATCTTTCTTAATTTCCTCCCTCAGTCTTCTGCCGGTACAACAATCAACAATGACGGCGACACTTAATGTTTATGGAAACCCAATTTCGATTGCTACAGTGAGAGTTGTTGCGTACCAGGAAGGACTCAACTGCTATTTTAACCTCCCTATTTCAAACTAACTTTGAAAGAGAAACAAATTATTGCCAAAGCCATTGGTGGTCTCAATATCCTCAGTTCCTTTGTCAACCCTTCTTAAAACATTCTTGGTCAAAGGAACTATAATTGATAGATCTCTGGGTCTCCATTTGCTCTTGTGTACAGAATGCCCAACTCTATTGGAAGTAAAATGAATCCTAGAAGGGCTGTCATTAGAACTAGATCCAACTGACTTAAAACTGTGAAGTTCATGCCTAGCGCTAATACTACTTGAATCTATATCTGAAGAAGTCTCATGGCAGCAATCACTTGATGGGCATAAAAATTCATTTGTGGAGTCTTCCCCTTCATCATCATCACTCTTGCTCGGTGAGCGATGAATCGGTAAAGAAAAAAATGTACATACCTCTATAATGATTTTAAAACACAAGAAACTAGGAAAGATAATTAATAATTAAAAAATAAAAAAAATGAAATTACCTTATTAACCTTGTTATTAACACTAAACAAACAAAATTTTTAACAGAGTACTAAAGTGATTAAAGTCGAAAACTAAATAGAATATAAAATATCATTTAAAATTAAATTGTGTAAAATTACTATAAGCTAAAACTATATTAGATATTAACTCTTTCACATAGTTTGAAAATCATTTAATCTATAAAACCAAAACTAAAAATTTCCAGTTCAAATAACCCATCCAAATAGAAATTACCACCGCTACCCTAAACACAAACAAAAACACTCAATTTATTCACATCAAACACTTTTCCAGCAACTTACACCATACAAACTATACAACACACAAGGGGGAATTGACATTTATTTATCTTTCAGTGTAGTGTAATATTGCAGTATTGTTTTGCATAAACACGTAGGGGATCGGAATATGGACTGTCTATCCAGAGATTTCAATGGACTTGACATCAGGCTTCTTCACTTCCGCCTTAGGAATGGTGACCGTGAGCACTCCGTTTTCCATCGACGCCTTTATCTCTTCCATCTTCGCGTTCTCCGGCAACCTGAACCGCCTCATGAACTTCCCGCTACTGCGTTCCATTCGATGCCACGTCTCGTTCTTCTCTTCCTTCTCCACGTTCCTCTCCCCGCTGATCTGAAGAATCCGATCGTCTTCGATCTCAATCTTCACTTCCTCCTTCTTCAGCCCGGGGACGTCCGCCTTGAAGACGTGAGCCTCCGGCGTCTCCTTCCAGTCCACGCGAGTGTTGACGAACGCCGACGTCTCCCCGGAAGCAGAAAATGGGAAAGACAAGTCGCGGAACGGGTCAAAAACGTCGAGGGAGAAGGGATCGGACATGTTGCCGTTTCTCCGGCCGCCAAAGAGTCTCGGAATCAGCGACATCTTCAGTAAGTATTGATTAACTGTATGTATGCGTCAGAAAAGCTTATTGTGGTCGATAATGGCTCTCTTTGATTCTGCTCAATCTGGTTTGTATTGGGGAAGAAGGGACCTATTCGGTATTTATACGCTAGCGATGAGGTTTCTGGTACTTTCGCCATAGTCTTCGCGCTTTGCTTAGCCAGTTAAATTCATCCCCGCCAAGATGAACAGTCCAGATTATTCCAGGCGGTGCCTGTTGTTTCTCGAACATGCCAGAGTCCATACGGGGCCACACCTAGTTTATTTGGGCAAATTATCCCGTAGACCGCGGTCCACAATGCACTGTGATTCAAGCATCAAATATGCATTGCAGTTTTATTTCAATTTCAACACAACTATAGTATCATTATGATATAATTATAATTTCGCTGCACAATATACACTCAAATATGTAAAATTGTTATTCAGTTTCATTTTGTATACACTGCAATTTAATTTCAACACAATTACAATTTTATTTCAATTCAATTGCAGTTTCTAGGGGTGTCAAAGTAGGCCGAAGCCCGCGGGTTAGGGCCGCAAGAAATTAGGCTCGCGCCTAACGGGCATGGTTCGTGGAGGGTCAGAGCCCGCGGGCCAGGTCATATTTCAAAAATAAATAAATAAATTATATATATAAATAATATCTTTTTTTTTTTTAAATCATATATATAATATCTTAAGTCTTAGGCAATATGTAGATCTAACTATCTAAGAGTACGCAGAAGGGGAGAAATCCAATAATTCAATAATCATTCGTCAATTCTTAATTCAATAATTCCTAGAATACGTAGTTCTTCAATTCTCCCGTCTCCATCCGCCTCCAACTCTATCAAATAATTACTAAAACTAAATCATCAATTCATACATATTTATGAATTACTAAATCGCCTCCAAGTTACATACATATTTATATATGTATTATACACAAACGGGAATTGTAGAGGGAAAATTTGAAGCCGAGAGAGAAATCGAGTGTGCTGTTGAACCCTAGCTTTGATCACCCTTCTACAATTCTGCTGAACGCGCGGTATCGATCCGGGAGATTTGGGCGAGGTTTATGAATTTTATGGAAGTTTCCGGTGCCATATTTCAAGCGGTTTTAACATGTTTATATACTATTTAATATTTTTTTTAAAATTTAAGTGATGGCCCGCGGGCCAGCCCGCAAGCCCGCATGGGGCGGGCTTGGGTTGTATAGTTCCAAGCCCGTGAGCTTCACGGGCCGGCCCGCCAAATAAAAAGCCCGCGGTGGGGCGGGCCGGCCCGAATTGACACCCCCAGCAGTTTCATTTGATAATATAATAAAAAAATAATACCTAAGTTTAGATATACTACAGGGGCTGTCGTTTTGAACCATGATCTATAAAGTTTTGTGAACCGCGGTCCACAGTGTAATTGCGGGTAGGGGTGATTACGGTTCGGTTCGAACCGGACGGTTCGAACCGGACGGTTCGAACCGAACCGTGAACTATTGAACCAGAACCAGAACCGAATCGTCCGTACTGTTTCTGTTCCGGTTCTTAACTGGAACCAATATGGTTCCAGTTAAGGTTCGAGATGAAAAGGAACTGGAATCGGCGGTTTCGGTTCCAAACCGGAAAAAAATAAAAATTATATAGTGTTTTTTAAATTTTTGTTTAAAATAAATCCGGTTAGAGCTGACGGTTCCAACCGGAACCTTATTATAAGGTTCCGGTTCCGGTTTATCCATTTGCGGAACCGGAACCGACGATTTCAAACCGGAACCGAACCAGAACCAAAACTGCGGTCACCACTAATTGCGGGTTTATTTGCTATTTATGCCCAAGCGATTCAAGCCCAATTTGTAAGATTTGACCTACCTTAACGAGCAATTTATATTGTGGATCAAGGTCCACATAACATTGTATGGCATAATTTTATATCGTGGATCAAGGTCCACATAACATTGTAGGGTAAATTATGCTGTGGACTCGAGTTTTAAAAAATTTGCATAATATAAGACATAAATTTGTAAAATAAGACATATGTTGTAATTTGGCCTATCAACTAGCTCAGTTCTCGCGTGATGTTTGCACGGTACTGCTTCGTGATTGTATGTATATGAGTATATAGAATAGATAAGTAAAAGGCAGATGAAGAACACAATGTATAGAACACAATTTCATAAGACTATCTTTTCATTAAGCCTTCACCCTCAATTTATAGGGACCATTACAACCTTTCACATACTTATCATAAACAAGATATTAAGTAGAAGGCAAATGAAGAGTCTCAAGATTAATGGCCACTAATTGAAATATTTATAACACTCCCCCTTGGCCATTAAATAACTAACTCATGCCTCGTTAAAAACCTCGCTAGAAAACTCAGTGGGAAAAACTAGACGAGGAAAAGAGTACACGAAGTATATTAAACCATTGTGTTGTACCGGTTTCCTCATTAAAAACCTTAGCCTAAGAAAACTCAGTGGGAAAAAAACTTAGCTAAGGAAAAGAGTACAACCATAAGCCTTCCGGGCATAATCTTCAAGATTTCAAGGGCCTTCAGGACTATCCACTCAAGTGCACCAACATCGATTGCCTCATTAAAAACCTTAGCCTAAGAAAACCCTGCGGGAAAAACTTAGCTAGGGGAAAAAGAGTACAACCATATGCTTTCAGAGCATAATCTTCAGGATTTCAAAAGCCTTCTAGATTGTCCATTCCAGTGCAATTAGGGGTTGTCGCTCCCCCTGAAGATAACAATCTTCTAAGCCCACGCATCCCAATTTTATGAACATATTACTCAAAAGTGGATGTAGGCAGAGACTTAGTGAACATATCTGCAAGATTGTTCAGTAGGGAAAACATTCTCAACAAGAATTTTACAACTCTTCTAGAGTTCATGTGTGTAGAAGGATTTAGGTGCAACATGTTTTGTAAGGTTCTCCTTAACAAAATTATTACTTGCTTGTGCAACACAATCTTATTTGTCCTCATATGGGACATTGGGGGTAAAAATATAGCATAGCCAGATTGGGACTTGGCATCATAGGGATCAAATAAAAGAGCCAGTACCCAAGTAGCCATCAAAACCACATGTTGGTTTCTCACATAAACGTCAAAATCTTTATACCTCGAAAATGCTGGAGGATATGTTAAACACCATTCCAATTTTCATTGTAGGGAGAAGCACTAAATCTTGCTAGTAATTTCATCGCAAATTCAATATCAGGCCTGATGCGATTATGGAACTTCTAGTTCAATAATAGTGCTCCAATAGCAATGAAGTAATGGACTTCCAGTCCCTAAATATCCTCATTATAACCTTCGAGTCTAAATGGCCATTTATTTACTTCAAGAGATTATTGGACAACCGTTTGTGTGATAAGTAAATAATACTTGTTTATATAAAACATCTTCAAGATATTTTTCAAGTAGGCTAACTGGTGTATAAAACTTCTTCAAGGAGAAGCTCGATCTTCAGGTCGAGACAATACTTGGATTTCTAAGTCTTTTATTTTAAAACTCCATCTTTAGGCATGAGCTAATATCACCAAGCTCTCTATGTGTTTCAATGATATTTAAACCGTCAATATCGACTGAGATGATAAATAAATAACTCCATTAGCAATTCTTTAACGAACACATAATGGTACATATTATTTATACATTCCTTCTTCGGGAGGAAAACACTCAGTCAATAATATTCAAGTCATACAAAGACTTTAGTAGTTTAATGATACACGTTGAGATTTTCACTTTCCACATTCCAAAAGTGTTGAATCCATCGGGGATTTACAAATAAATATTAGCGTCTAATGACCAGTAAATTACGGTCATGACGTTCATCAACTGAGTATAGTTTGATAATGGCGAAGGGGGAGTGTTATAAATATTATTATTATTATGGCCATTATCACAAGACCTTTCATTTGCCTTATATTTATTCCATTATTTATGTTATAGAAAATGAAGGGTTATATGGATGTATATATATACATGTTCAAGGCATAATGAAAGAGAGAACTTGTGTTCTTGAGTTCTACATTCTTGTGTTATGTTTTTCTCTCTACTCTTCCATTCCATATTGCAATATTCTTCATACATACAATCGATGCGTTACCATACAACTATCACGCGAGAACTAACAAGTTGATAGGCCGAATTATAACACGTTATCAGCACGAATCGCCAACATATTCCTCGGTGAACGGTATGCTTGGACATGTTATAATACATGTTTTTATACTAGGCAAGCATGTTCATAGGTTTCATATAATACATGTTTTTATATGGCACATGTTGATTCTACACCTCTTGATATGATTATGAAATACATGATTGATATGATACATATTGATTCTAAAATTTGAAATATGAATTGCACATACCGGTTCATATATATATGATTGTGTAAATTCCTGAATATATATTTCCAATTTTATTTTTGATTCTTAAAATTGAAAGAAAAGCATGTGATATATATGTTTGTGTAAATAGATGGGGCTTTTCGTATGAAGATGCAATGTATGTATACATATTATTTTCATTTCGCATACTTTGTATGTTATATACCCTATGATGTAGTGCATTATTATGTTTTTATGATATGTCGTTTGCATGTGATTAGCAATTAGTTTTTGTGCCGATTAGGCAATGAATGAATGGTTTTTAATTAAGATTGTTAAAGTTTATTTTGTGGAAGCTTAAGAGTGAGTAAGACTTTAAAGCTTAATTGATGACTTGGGAGCATCAATTCGGTGTATTGGAGAATGAAACACCACTCGTTGCCTGTAGCGCGAGTTGATGCTATAAACACGAGTCGATGCTTGCTGCATCAATTCGGTGTTTTCGCACCGATTCGTGCTGATAACGTGTTGTAATTTGGCCTATCAACTAGCTCAGTTCTCGCGTGATGTTTGCACGGTACTGCTTCGTGATTGTATGTATATGAGTATATAGAATAGATAAGTAAAAGGGAGATGAAGAACACAATGTATAGAACACAATTTCATAAGACTATCTTTTCATTAAGCCTTCACCCTCAATTTATAGGGACCATTACAACCTTTCACATACTTATCATAAACAAGATATTAAGTAGAAGACAAATGAAGAGTCTCAAGATTAATGGCCACTAATTGAAATAT